TGATTCCACCGGCAGCCACATGATCACATGCCTTGCCATGTAGACCCAAGGTCTCTCTCTGTGCCTTTATATATGTGTGTGTGTGTGTGTGTGTGTGTGTGTGTGTGTGTGTGTGTGTGACCATGACCTTGGCTGTCCTCTGCACAGCCTCTCAGAAGGATGATGGAGGTGTTTATTGATTAGATAGGAAGACAGTGGTTGTGTTTAGTGAGGAACTAGAGGGGTGTGGGTGGCAGGCAGCGGGTAATGGCCGGCAGTTTATCTAAAAATAAATTCATTTTGAATTTAATGTGTGTCAAATTATGACAAAGTGCTGCGATCAAATATGAGTGAATACACCCAGTTTGACTTGATATCTGTTTAATGGTATCCACTGCAGCTGGACAGGACAAAATCTAAAAGGACACGTTAACACCAAGTCTGTTTTGAGGGAGCATGTTTAATGGTGGAATAGGAGGGAGGAGGAGGCGTGTTTAGCGAAGGTAGAAGGTGAAGAAGGAGAACTTTGGATAAAAACCAGAACCTTCTTTGGCACGTGCTGGATCTTTATGACTACATGAATTTATGGATGCTTCCAGACTGACCTGAATACGCCACTGAACTCTTTGCCCTTTTACACAGCACATTATATATGTATACACACAGACCAGCACTTCATATAGCCTCACTGTGTTTCTGATATGTGTACGTGTAAACAACAGTAAAGGTGAAGACGTAGTAGTATAAGCGCTGTTACCCGGGCGATGCAGTACTCTCTGGGGTTCTCCTTCTCCAGCCCGTACTTCTCCAGCGCCTCCACCACGGCAAAGTCAGCCGTGTCCCTCGTGGACAGCAGGATGGTCTTATACGGGATGTTCGGCTTCAGGCTGTCAGCGTATATCCGCAAAGTGCCTCCTGGAGGAGAGTACGACACACGTTATTTGCTAGGAGAATTTATGAGGGCTGATACAAACTCAAATATCCTATTGAAGTCAGTATATTTAGATTGAAAACTCCACAGGACACACATCATCATCAAACCCAAAGAAAGGAAGTTAGTTTAGGGCAAAGTGAGGCAACTATTAATGCCCTTTAGTATGAAAAATCTGAACAAAAATGTTTTTTTATGGTTGAAATAATGATCAGATCCCAACATTTACAACATGTATACAGACGACAGAAAAAGTGCTGAATTCTATTTTCATGAAAAAGAAACCACTACATGAAGCGGACAGAGCGCGCATAAGATGTGCCGCGCTTTCACCCGGATGCACACGTAGCCGTGCGACCGTGATGTGTCAACTAGAAATGATCACCTTCGTAAATCCCACAAGGGAGTCTTCGAGCAAAGCAAACAGGATTTTACAGAAGCGTTACATAAAATGAGCTTGTTTAAAATAGCACTTTCTTCTGGGAGAACGTCATTGTCTTACCACAAGCCATCCTGTCCCACCGGTGGTGTGTGTGTGTGTGTGTGTGTGTGTGTGTGTCTACCGTATGTGGACAGTGGTTAAAGCTGTTTTTAGAGTCGGTTCAGTGGTCCATCTGTCTGTCTGTCTGGTGATTAGGTAATGCCTGAGTCACACACACCGAGCCCAGCCAGCGTGTTCCTTTCATTTACTCAAACATGGACGTCTTTCTGCGTACACATGTCCGTGTGAGACTTTCCCACAACATACGGCCTTCTGAGGACCCGCTGATGTAAACATGTTGTAGAATGATGTACAGAGAAAACATTTGACTGTTTTATTTTCAAAAATATATGTAATTTCCATATGCATTCAGCCCCTTTACTCACTACTTTGTATAAGCTTTACTGGCAGTCATTACAGCAGCAGAACACCTCGACCAGCTGTTTCTTCCAGCCCTCCTTGCAGATTGTCTCAAGCTCCGTCACACTGGATAAAGAGCGGCAGTGAACTGGGATTTTCAGGTCGCTCTGCAGGTTTTCTCTGGGGTTCATATCAGGTTGGTCTTAAGCCGCGCAAAGACATTCCCACTTGTTCCGAAGCCAATTTTGGTTTCCGAATAACCAGACTGAATTGCCATTTGATTTCACTTCATTCATTCACTCTGATATCGTATGCATGTTAGCAAAGTTCAGGGGAGAGAGACATATCCATCTCATGATGTCATTATGAGTTCATTCACAAGCTACAGTATCAGCGGTGTCAATTTAAGAGTTGTTATTTCTGCGAGTTTAATAACAACTCGTGCAGTTTCATTGATTTCATTGACGTAGCCATGTAGGTAGCTTGGTAGGGAGATAAACATCCTACAGAACTGTACATTCACAAGATCACGCATCTCAATAACAGGGGTTGACGATTCAATACATACTGTGAGCAAGGCGATAATTTTGATTTCTTATTTAAATCAAGTTTCAGAAACACAAAATCTTTAAACTTTAAAGAAAAGTTCACTTTTTATGTAACCATAACAGTCGGATCTGCATTTGTATTAATCACAGTAACATCCAAAATCATAGCCCTCAGCTCATGTTTACAACACTGCTATCCAGTAGTTGGAGGTTTAAACACAATCAATACAGTGTTTTTGACACAAAATATCTCTATACAATACTTTTCAATATGTTCTTACACCCCTAATCCATATTCTTTAGTCACCTGCTGAGCTCCTATTGGTCACCTGTTTCTCACAATTCAACATTAATGTAACCAGATCTACAGCAATTCAGAGATCTGGAAACAGGCTGGAGCGCCAAGAGTAAAATATCTGCCTCATCTATCAAAATAATCTTAGTCCTATTAATCTCCAGCTGCTTAAGTGCTTTTTGCCAAGATCTTGGCAGGCCAGAATGTGTCTTCTGCTTCTGTCTAGCTACTCTGCTATAAAAGGTCTGATCGGTGTGCGAGTGTTGCAGGGATGGTTGTTTTCATCACAAGTTCTTCACGCTCTGTATAAAAGCTCTGGAGCTCTTTTAAAGAAGTTCTCCATTACTTCCTGGATGTAGGCCCTTCTCGCCCAGGTGCTGCATCTGGACAGCCTACAGCCAGCTGTAGGAAATTCCTGTATTTCATCATAATGAATCCCAATAAAGGTCCCGGGAATGTTTCTATCTATCCTCAACACTCTTGTATCTCAGAGGTCTACTGTGAAGTCTGGCTTGCTCTTTGCTCTGTCAACCACAGTGAACTACGAGACCTGAGAGACTGAACTGTGCATGACTGGATGATCAGAGCTCTGGCTGGGTTTGGCAGGAAGGGGTCTGCATATACAAGTAAACAAGATGTGTTGAATTCATTAGAAGTTGGAACAAACCTGAGTCTGGTCGCCCGTCGCTGCTCATGAACTCCTGCATGCGTTTCTCTAGTTTCTGCTGGCGTCTCCTCTTCATCACCACCTCTGGGTTGGAGATCGTCCTGGTAAAGCTCGTCTCCGGCATGTCCTTGTAAACCTCCGCCGCCAGACGACTGTTTTCCCTAAACCAAGAGCGAGGGAGATGAATGATGAGAAAGAAGACACAATAAGTGTGGGGAAAAAAAGAAGCCAGATGGAGGAAGAGAAAGGTTGAAGTTTAAATCAGTATTCTTTCCTCTTCTGGAGCCTTCTGCGCTTTTCTTGGCATAAAAAAAAAACAAGATCCTCTCCAAGGACAGAGGATGTGAGGGGAAGGACAATAAGATGGATGACTGTGTGTGTGTGTTGTTGTGTGGTGTGGTTGTGTTTGTGTGTGTGTGGGTTTGTGTTGTGTGCGTGTGTTACCCGTCCTCGCGGCTGATCGCCTGTTCGTCTCCATCGGGGATCCGGGCGAACTCCTTCTCCCTCTTCTTTTCCTTCTTCTTCTCCTTCTTTGACAAAGTCCTCTTGAAGTTCTGGATCACTCCGTCCTTCTCCTTCTCTGGACCATTACTCTGACTCTTCTGGTAGAGAGGGGAAGAAGAGTGAGCGTGGCCCTTTAAAGGGACTACGAGGGCAAGTTTGCAATGACATACTCGCTTCTGAATGAAGAAATAAATAAACGATGAACAAACCGGAAGACAATCAAGGGAAAGATCTTTCTTAGGAAGTAACATCTGATCAAGTCACGACTTCTAAAGGGTTTTCGTTTAGTTTTAAACCTTATTTATTTACTTACTTCTACTTCAGTTAATGATGTCCTACATTTATAAAGAAGGCTTTTTGACAGACCACAGATCCAAATAAGGGCACAGTATATCTAAATTACTGGTCTCCTGTTTTCTACAAAGGATTTCCCACGGTGTAAGTGTATTGTAAAATGGTCTCATCTGAAACTGTTTTCTTCCACAGATGAATGAATGATGAGTCAGCTCTCTGCTAAACCAGCTGGTTGACAGTCAAACAGGTTAACAGACGGCCTCAGACAGAGCGGCTGACCTTGGGAAGGATGTCGTTCTCGTTCTTCAGGACGAAGCGTCCTTCTCTGTCGTCTTTGTTCCAGTTCAGCTGAACAACGAGAGGCTTCTCGTCCAGGTCCAGCTGGCGCTCTTCTAACACACACACACACAGAGACACCAGTTCATCTGAGAGTCAACTATATCAAATTATCTCCATTTCCAACACTGACACACTATTAAAATCCCCTCTTTCTCTCTCCTCCTCACTGACTAGTCTATGGGACTCACCGCCACTGACGTGGACCTCGTACAGCGAGTATTTTGGCGAGGAGAGCATCCTCATGTCTGGTCTGAACTTCTCGGCTAACGTCTCGATGACGTCCTGCGTTGTCGCTGTGCTGGACACTCGGATGCACTTGGTGGCAAAGTTACCGGCGACCCGGTCCTGGAAGTAGAACCGCATCACGCCATGGAACTCCAAGTCCTGTTGAAGAGGGACACAAGAGTCCATAATGTGTTTATTATACGAGCTGTAAGTCCACATTCAATATGATTACATACTGTGACCCATTTAAAGAAGACTGTTTGTTCATGTCGAGCCAACAGATTGAAACTGTTGGCCTGCATTGATGAAGACTGAAGGCGGTCATTATCAATCAGGGCTGTGCATTAAGGTGACGGTCACAAGAGGAGAGAAGCACTAATGGCTGAGCGCCAGGAAGTGCAGTGTGTCAGCAGGTTGTTCAGTCGCTCACTGACCCGGCTGTCGACCCACACGCCAACCTTTGTGCACTATAACCGACATCCATAATATTTGCTTCAGAAGAGGGAGTGCCCCTAGATTTCTAAATCAGTTCAGAAGTCGCATGGAGAGAACTTCCTATATTTTCCAGTTCTTTTCCAGGAAACTTCCTGGAAAATAAAGCGTTTTATTGTGTTTTAGCTTTCTTATCCATTTGATCTCATGGTGCTGGGCTGAGGAAACACACACACAATACACAGGCCCCGACACAGCCAGTGCTGGATGTAAAAGCCTGAGCCTGAAACAGACACCCAGGGCTATCTACAGTGCATGTGAAGGTACAGATTTATTACCTACATATTGACATTTCCGAGTCGACTACTGTAGAACGAGAATCTCTTAAAGATAAACCCAACCGGTCCTGATTTTATCGCATGTAACAGCAGTGAAACTGGCCTCATATTTCATTTTAACTGTGATTCAGAAGGCGTCAGATCTACATGGGAGTTTGGAGACATTAGAAAGCTTGTATGTGCTTTTTCTATAATATCAAGACAGTATCTCGCTCTAAAATTAAAACTAAATCCAACACAGGACAGAAACTGGCAGCCAGGTACAAAATAAAGCACAATAACAAAAGCACAATATATACTCTATCTAAAAGAACAAACAAAAGATGAACATTGAAAGCTTTGAAGAGGCAGACTTATCAGTTTCCCTTCGACTGTGGTTGTTCTACGACGTAGGTATCGGTCCTGTCAGGGTGCCAACAAAGCAATTTTTGAATTTCAAAAGAGAGACCTTGCCAGCGTTTTTTTTTTTTTTCAGAAAGGTAGACGACCGGCCAAACGACTTTCTAAGGTGACGGACTGAGTGTGTGTGAGCGGGCAAAGATTCAAACTAGATGTATTCAGTGACAGCGAAAGAGAAGCTGGTAAGAGGAAGTGAAGACTGACTCACACATGTGGACAGAAAGTAAGAAAATAACCGGGCGAGACTGCTTTTTCTTTTTATCGTTTATTTTTTTTTACATGAAAGACAAAACTTTCTTCCCTCTCCATCTTTCTCACCCGTAACCTCCCCCCTCTCTCCGTCCCTCTCCCCGTGTTTGATAGAGACGCAGAGTGGAAACACTGAGCGTAGTTTGGATCGGCACAAGGGTGGAGTCGGGAATGTGTGTGTGTGTTGTGATTTACTGCAGGAATGTGGGTCATTGAGGGTTGCGCAACCGTTGGTAACTGTTACTGTGGAGACGCTCGGTCCACTTGGGTTCAAACAAAGCCCAGCGAAGAGCCAGCAGTGGATAATTAACACAGTGCAACCCCCGTTCCTCCAGGACATGGTACATTCCTACCGACCCGTGCCTCCAGGTTGCACACCCCGCACATTCATGGCAATGGTCCAGTCTCATACGGATATTCACAGACCATGGCCAACTCCTGAAACTCCACGCTGTGGTCCGACTTTCTGATATCTCCGAGTAGGGGTGTGACGATACACTCAGCTCACGACAACGAGACGAGACTTTAAGAAAACTACAATGACAAAATATAAGACTGGACCAACAGACTTTTATTTAACCGAGTTGTTATAATGTTTTATTATAACTCTTTACATGGGTTAGGGTTAGAGATCTCGTCACACCCCTATCTCTGAGCCATAGTCCGGTCTACACTTATATACCTCCAGATTCAGTCCTATAAACCCAAAGGTCAAGGCCAAACTTCTAATGAACTCCAGCTCACTTTGCCCCGCACCTCCAAGACCTCCAGACACTCCTCCAGACCCACAGCTCCAGGTTACCACCGAGTCACGACCCAGTCCAACAAACCGACATTTCTACACCACAGTCCAGTGATATAATAACAATAATAAACTAAGAAACTAAGTTACAGGAGCCATGAATAATACATGTTCACATGTACACAACCTCATAAACCGTTGATGGATGAGTAACCAGAAGTATTACTTCAATAAACGCACTGGTAGTTGAATACAGACTCTTTTATACGCAGATTTTATTCAGTAATAAATATATGTAAGGCATTCGACTGCAACATAAAAACCTTTAACCGCTGTTGATAAATGCAGCATCTGAAGCAGTTCAGCATATCTGATGGACTTCTTGTGGTAAGTTGTTCAGGATTAAAGCTAAACAGATGAAACGATGATTGTATCTCTGAGATTTCTTTCAACAACATTCTTACTATCCCGAATGAGTCAACTCTCAAAGGCTGCATGAATGGACGAGGGGAAGTGTTGTTTGGTTTTCTGGAGGTAATAGGGGTAGTTTGGATGGATTAACAATTAACCAAAGGGTGAGATCTTCCACTAGAAAGAAAATGACAAGAAAAGGAACAAAGCACACATTCATTTGGACTTTAAGGACACAATCCTGACTCATATTTAAAGCTTATTCGAGCGTGTCGGCTAAATGCTCAAAATTGCAAAACGTAAAACGTGGAACAAACCGTTCGGTTTATCCTCTGGGCAGCTTTCACTCTAATAATCCCTAACAGCAAACAGCACACGGGCTGGAAGGAAACGCTAACGCGGCAGTATGTCACCGAACAACAGATAAGACTGTCAAACGCATATTTCCAGTCAGGTCGAGGAACAGGAGAATCAACTGAGCGTTAGGGAAGTCTTTGATGTCGGACTACTTCTGTCACTGTGGGAATGTGTTAGTGGGTCGACATGCAGCGTGTGAGCACACCTCTGCCTCTACGGCTAATTAAACTCATGTGTGTAGTTACTGTGTGTTTGTTAAGCCCCTTTTCAACTGCATGCTACGACTCGACTCACTCTTTTTTGGTTCTTCATTGTGGATAGTACCTGGTGCTTTATTAATTATTAAATGTTCGCTAAATTATGTTTAATTATATTAAGAGGCGTGACAATTGCTGCCAAGTTTCTTCATGTTCATTTAAAGTGCATCTTTTGGAGTTTGGCAGCATCAAAGGCTTTTAGGAGAACTAAAAACGAGAAGGTTTGTGTTTTAATTCCTGTCGAAAGCGCCTCCTAAAGTCAAGACTGAATCATCTCGTCAAAGAGCCGAGAACTGCCGGCGTCCAAATACGAGACGATATCTTGTCCTCTGATATTAAGAGGCTCCACAAATGCTCGCACGTTTCTTCAAGTCTATTTAAAGTGCGTATTTTAGAGTTAATCAGCCTCTAAAGCTTTTAGCTTCTGAAGGTTTGGGTTTTAATACAGGATATACAGTGAGGAAATAAAGTAAAGCTCCTGTGTTGTTTCCAGCTGCAGGAATAACTGTGACAATCAGCTCCGCCTACGTTGTGTGGGTTCAACCTGCAGAGGAAACTGAAGTGGAGGAACCAAATGAGAGCGGAGTCAGGCCGTACCACGAGGAGAGAGAGAGGGAGAGAGAGAGAGAGAGAGAGAGAGAGGGAGAGAAGAGGGAGAGAGAGAGAGAGAGAGA